TTTTAAATTATTTTATTGCAATTTAAAAAAGAATATAATTATAATTATTTTACAGTATGTTAGATGATTTCGGCAACGAATTCGACACAACTGAATCTAAATTAGATTCTACCATGAAAAAGATGGCTAAAGTGTTTCACATGAATAATGGTAAGAATGTATAAATAAATTATTTTTAAAATAAAATATATAATTAAACATTTTCGTTTTCGTCTTCGTTTTAGATAAACGTCAATGGGCAGCAATTTTAATACTTTCGATACTTCTTTTAATTGTGATAATATTATACATCATTTTGTAAACAAAATTAAGTTTCGTATTCCTTGCTACTTTAAAAAAATTGATTTTAGCTTTTAAAATGTTAGTTTCTAGTTCTTAATTTATTATAACACATACGATAAAAAAATCAATTATATTTTATAATTTATTTTATTGACTTCTATAATATTGTCAAAAAATTAAAAAATGTCCGCAAAAAAAAAAATATATATCTTATAAAAAAGTTGAAACTTCTTTTTATAAATGTATATATTTATTTATATAGAAATCTATTTATAGAGTTGTTTTGTGCATTTTTATTTAGTCATTTAAATTACCAAATATATATTTATTAATACAAAAGGAAAATATATTCAAATGAAATGTACGCATAGAAACTTATATATACAATTTTAATATTTGTAAATCTCCAGTTCAAAAATTCGTAATGTCGCATATAAAATATTTAAATATGTTGAATATAGTGTATATCGCATATGAAGAATTTCTTGAATATATCAAATATATATATATATATACATATAAAACAAAGTATGTAGAATTGAATAGGTAAAAATTTTAAATTCATTTAACGAATAATTATATGTATATTATAGTCAAAAAATAATAAACGAATATACAACAAAAGTTTGTTTTATTTAAATATTACGCAGTGAAATCTTGAAATTTAGTCATTTAGTTCATTTAATCCACTTTCTGCATAACTAAATTAACAATCTTATTTACTTATTTATATAAGAACTCCATCTGTAGAAATATAACGTAATCTAAAGAGGAATTTGGAACGACGAACTTTAGAAAAATTCGTTGTCCAATCAAAATAGTGCGCCCATTATTAAGTGTGTTGTTGTTGTTGTAACCCACTGGGACCTGCAAGCAGATAACATGAAAGGATATACACGAGACTATTACAAAGGTGGAGTAGAAGTTGGGGGGAATGAGAATAAGGGGATTAGGTGTCTTCCTATACTTTTGCCAACAAAAACTTTAAATGAAGTGTAAAAAATGAAAAACTGATTTATATGATTATATATATATAATTATATGTAGATGTATAGGAACGCGAAATCAGTAAACATTTGAAAAACAAAGGAAAGTTAAAAACATCTGTTATTTCAATTATATTAATCAATTTAGTGAAATAAGCTCACAAGTAACAAATTACTACTTTTTAATTAAAGCAGTTATTGAATCTAGTCTGCACTTTATATAATTTTTCAGTTTAATTTTCAACTGAGAATGAATTGCAAATTCAATATTATTATCTATTATTTGCTTTAAAATTTTAACCAACAAAGACAAGAAGCTTACCTTAACCTATCTTTATTTCGCATTTTATTGCAGTGCTCTCTGTTATAAGTTTTTACTGGTCTTTTGGAAACGCGAAACTAGTAAAAATTGTTGCAAATTTTAAATATGGTCACCTAACAATGTTATGATGTTCATACTATGCTTATCTTCTTCTTATTTAGCACTGCAGTGCACCTTAGTCTCCTTCACAAACTGCCTCCATCTGTATCGATCTTCTGCAGTTCTTTTTCAGTTCAAAACTCCGAGCTTTCTGGCGTCCTAGTAAATGTTTTCTTTCCATCTCAGCTTCGGTCTGCCTTTATGTTGTCATCGAATTGGCATGAAATATATTAGCCGAAATTTCTTTCGGGTCCAATTTTTACAACGTGAGGTGCCCATTGCAGTCTTTGTGCTTTGAGAAATTTTACTACATTTTCATTTTTAAGGTGATCTTCAATTTCGTTGTTTGTTCGTCTTTTGAATGTCTCGTCTTCCATTCGAATAGGTCCATATACTATACTCATACTATTATATATAACAATATTAATATCAAAAATCAAGAATTTCATATAAATCTTTTTGATTTCAACTTTGTTTGTTGTCGAAATCAAGAATAAGTCCAAATTTCAGTTGATATTAATAACAAAACTTTCGAGAGAATGCAGTATAAAGCATATTTGAAAACATTTAATTCTATAATATAATAAAATTTAGTTCCACTTTTAATATGAAATCATTTAAAAAACTTTAGCTAAAAGCACATTTATTTTTTAATAGTCATGTGATAATTAAGGATTTATATATTTTTTAAAAACAAAGTAAAAATAAATCTGCTAATCAAAATAGATTTCCAACAGATCATTTACAAATACACATTTTTTTAAATTATAGTTCAATTCAGATAATATATGAGAGAATCATATTGAAAAGCAAATTTCTAATAAAAATAAATTATATTTTATTTCGTTATTTTGTTATTAACGAAATTTTTGCAAAAATTGCTTATTGGGCTCTGTGCAAGTTCGAGTAAATTGAGGGAAGTAGTAAATTATGTCGGTATGGCAGCAATGTTGGTATTTACTAAAATTTCAAGTAGAGTAAATTAGATAAAAATCATTTGCACAATGGTGTTACCAAATTACCAAATTTTATTAGATGTTTAATAAATAAATAAATAAATTTAAAAACTTTTAACCAAAAATAATAAATAAGTGCAAGAATTAAACAAATAAATATTTACATTAGTACAGTGCAAAAAATCCCTAGGAAATTTCCATTTACTTTACCTCAATTTACTCAAACTCCCACACGGCTTAAAATGTAAACAAAACTCTACAACTAGAAATTTTAAAAGCTTCTACCCATTCCCTATATAGCTTGTGCTAATATAAACGACAAAAAGCTCCATGTTACTAATTAACTTTGTAAGTAAGTAGTAGAAACGTAGTATAACGTTATTTCCGCAAAAATTGTTTATTTAATTTCGATAAATGTGAGGTGTGAATACAATACAAAACTTAGCTGAACAAATATTTTTTTACTAAGTCTGGCATCTCTTCATCGTGGAAAATATTTCGTTTCAAAAGAAGGCGCAATTACTAGAGTTTATTATTAAATGGTTTTGAACTTAAAGCAAATTTGGTTTATTCCTTGTTGGAAAGAATTGTAGCCGAGTGAGGATAAATTTGATTATAAATAATATTTGATTATAAATATCACATGCGAATCGTTTTTAACATAGCAAAAAATACCTATGCAAGGTAAGTAAGAAAGTAATCAATTAGATTTTATTTAATAAATTAAATTATTTCTAGACTTGTATTTATGAAAATAATGAAGCGAACAAAATCATCTAATACCACGAAACCACAAAAAAAGACTAAGTTACTCAATAGTACCGAAACTTCGGTAAAAACAATAACAACAGAGGACGCAACAACATCCAAATCGAACATAACAGATTTTGCCGTCGCAGTGCAAGAACAAAGATTATTGACGGCAGAAAATATAATTGAATTCCCATTTAAGAAAAAAAGAGTACGTATTTTAACAACAGTTGAAGAAGTTAAAGAACATACTACTGGTGGAATTCTTTATTGGATGTCAAGAGATGCACGGGTTCAAGACAATTGGGCTTTGTTATTTGCACAAAAATTGGCACTTAAAATGCAATTACCACTAATTGTGGCATTTTGTTTGGTACCAAAATTTTTAAACGCGACTATAAGACATTATAAATTTATGCTAGGGGGTTTAGAGGAAGTAGAAAAAGATTTGCAAGAGCTTAATATACCGTTTTATTTATTACTTGGACCCGCAGCGGAACATATACCAAAATTTGTAAAGGAATTTGATATCGGTGCTGTGGTTTGCGACTTTGCACCATTGCGTGTACCGCGAAAGTGGATAGATGATGTTAAAAATTTATTACCTAAGGATATTCCATTAACTCAAGTTGATGCACATAATATAGTTCCAGTGTGGATAGCTTCTGATAAACAAGAGTACGCAGCGCGAACTATACGTAACAAAATAAATTCTAAACTTGGTGAATACTTAACAGAATTTCCACCAATCGTTAAGCATCCTTATGATGTCAAACAAAAACGCACCACAATTGATTGGAAAGATGCATATGCCTCCTTGAAATGTGATATGTCCGTAGATGCTGTAGATTGGGCTAAGCCAGGATATAAAGCAGCTTTAAGACAATTGCAGGAATTTTGCACTAAACGATTACGCATTTTTAATGACAAACGTAATGACCCAACCCTAAATGCACTTTCAGGATTATCACCATGGTTTCATTTTGGTAAACTAGAAGTATAACGACAAATTAGTGTTAGAACATAATTGATGTTTTATTTATTAGGTCACATATCAGTTCAACGCTGCATATTAGAAGTAAAACGGTACTCTGCTCAGCATAAGGCTTCAGTTGATGCTTTTTGCGAAGAAGCTATTGTACGCAGAGAATTAGCTGATAACTTTTGTTATTATAATGATAACTACGATAATATAAAGGGATTACATGAATGGGCACGTAAAAGTCTTGATGAACATCGTAAAGACAAGCGGAGTTCACTATATACTTTATTGGAATTTGAGCAGGCTCGTACGCATGATGACTTATGGAACTCTGCACAGTTACAATTAATCAATGAAGGCAAAATGCACGGTTTTCTACGAATGTATTGGGCTAAAAAAATACTTGAATGGACAGAAACTCCTGAACAAGCCCTGGAATTCGCAATATTGTTGAACGACAAATATAGTCTAGATGGACGCGACCCCAATGGCTATGTTGGTATGTGTTAAATATTTTGTAAAATATGTTGGAATTCAATTATATTATAATTTTAGGATGTATGTGGTCTATTGGTGGTGTGCATGATCAAGGATGGGCGGAACGGCCAATTTTTGGTAAAATACGTTATATGAATTATCAAGGCTGCAAACGTAAATTTGATCTAAAGGCCTATGTCGCGCGCTATGGTGGCAAAATTCATACAAAAAGCACATAAAATAAAAACTGCAAAACAAAATTTTAGATGCGTAATAATATATTGAAAATATTAAATCTTTGCGTATTTGTTTTTGCAGACACATTTATTAAAAATTATAAATTTTACTTTAGACCACTGAAACTAATAAAGTTTGAAACTTTAATATATATACTTTTTGTTTTAATCTTTCTCTGCTATTTTTGTTAGGTGATCCTCAATTTCTTTTTCATCCAATGTTCTGAATTGTGGATTGTCCTTGCTTATTACACCGATTTCAATACCATTTGGTTTAAAATCAACTGCTAAAACATTAGAGAGACACATAATTGCCAATTGAATCGTTTTTTCTTCAGAAAGGTTATTTTTGTATTTCTTCTCTAAATAACTATTTGCCTCAACCTGCTTCACACCAACGGAGACCGCACGGAAACCGCAAAAGTAACCCGCAGGATCAGTTTTAAAAACTGCAGGTCCTTTTTCTTCATCATAACCAATGACAATCATACCTATATAAACAAAAGTTTTTAATTTTTTAAACTATAAAAAATTTTTAACGAATCACTTACTGCAGCCTAGTGGACGCATTTCGGCATTTTGAGTGTAAACTTGATTCATATCAGCCACACGTCTGCAAACCACATCAACCGGCATTTCATGCCCATATTTATAACGCCAGTGAGCAGCTTCATGACGAGCCTTTTGTACCTGCGAACGGCTGTCAGCTGTAAAAAAAAAAATGGAATAACACTAAATCGTGCATCGTTTAGCTGAAAGCATACCTATGCGTCCTGTCATCACACAACCAATTTTACTGGTAATTTTAAATATATGTGTAACAGTTTTTGGATCAATCAATTTATCGGTAACCTTCTTTTGTGTTGCTATTACAGCACAGTCACCACTCTTTAGAGCCACTGATGTAATACCCTCTTGGTTAATAGCTTTGAAGGCATATTCTAAAATTTTCAAAATATATAATATCAAGTTATTTCTACCTTATTACTCTCAAATATAGCAAAATAAATTTTTAAATTAAATAAGTGTAAGAAATATAACACCAAGAATTTGTATTCTCGAATGTATTGTTTCTTACCAACTTGATAGAGACGACCCTCTGGTGAAAAAATAGTAATATGACGATCAAAGCCGGCTGAACTTCCACGTGACATATTTGCTGATTTTCAGTTGTATAATAATATACTTCGATATAATTACGTTATATTATAATTAAAATATTAAGAAATTTGTTATAAACTGACTTTATGTCCGGTATGTGCACAAACAAATGATATTTAAAAGCATCAAATTCACACAGTCATTCCATGAAATGTCACACACAGCTTTTCAGTGATGCCAATACTTCCACTTTTTGACTTTTGCGTGAGAATTTACTTAAATCACCAGAGAATATATTCTAGGACACATAATTTTTAAAATTCAATACGTAAACGTAACAATTTACTTATGGAGAAAAAGTCGCTACCAATATTAGGGACATGTTATAATTGCAGTCACATCACGGCGATTGTTGTTGCTTTTAATCCAAAATGTAATAAGCTGTCAGTGTCAAATTTTCATTTTGCATTGAAAGCAACAACAATTAAACGTAAAGCAACAGCTAAATATTCACGTAAAGCAGATATAATGGCAGATGCAGCTTATGCTTTGTTGTCAAAGAAACCTGACAGTTGTACTGGAAAATTTTTAATTGATGAAGAAGTGGTATTGCAGGCTGGAGTTAAAGATTTGAAACAATATGCATGTGTTTCAGAAAATGCTGATATGTTAACTGATGACTTTTTCTTGGAACCTCATAATTCTAAACTGTAATATTGTGTATTAAAAAGATAATTTGGGAAAATGTAGATCGTGAATTGGAATAATTGATTAAGTTGTTAGAAGCGAAACAGATTTTTTTAATTAAAGTTTTTATAATTATTATTTTTTACATATATTAGTGCTTTACAATATTTGAGTATTACCATCTACTTAGATATGAAATATGATATACTTAAATATAAATATTTTGATCGAATAGTTTACATGTTCGGAATATGCGCGTTGTTCAGCCGTTGCAGCCCTTCACTTTTCTTAATTGCGTTGAACATGGAATGACACAATCTTACAATTAACTGAAAACTTATTATTTAAATTATTAACATTTTCAAAAAAAAGTGGTCAAGCTAATTACTTGGATTTATAATAGTAAATATGTGTAGTTTTCTTTACTGATAGTATCACTTAGTTAAATTTATTGAATTGTTCAATTTCCTGCATTCTTCCCAATAAATGTGTTCCTTTGCGCAAAAATTAGAACTAACTAGTCAAAGTTTTCATGGCTGTTTCTATTTTTAGTTGTCGTGCACAAAATTCAAGAAAAACAAACTACATTGAGACAGATTTGAAATAAATTCACTTTTCTGGAGATTTTTTTTTTTTTTAAACTTCATTTTATTAAATACAATCTATTCTATTCATAAATAATAAGTACTACTTATGGCAATAATTTTTATTATTTCTGGAGATTGTCAGTTTTTATTCATTTTATATTTGCTAGTAGAAGTAACAAGAAGTGGAAATTAATACGAGCTTATTATACATATATTTTGTGATTGGTAGCGCGATAATTACGGTGCATATGATTGAAGAAGCTGATCACACTGATTACATCAAAGCCGAGTAAAAAGTATTGGAGTACCACATAACTGAGTCTTAATCTTGAGAAAAGACACTGATGCGATTAATGTCAAGTTAATGGAAATGTATCCGGACTGATAGTAGTTTCTTGCCGTTATGCTTATGTTTAGATTTAATACAGTCGCGATCGACTTTACATTGAAAATGGTGAAGTTTTTCCATGTAAGCACAACCAAATCTCGAAGACGGATGTGAAAAGCGATCGAATTAGTTGCTCATAGCAAAGGAACTTGACTTTATGATGTCATTTTTTGTTATTTTCTCCCAGTTTTTAAAGATAAAAGCCGAGAACACATCATTTAACAATTACACGCATTCCATATTACAATCAATATCGTCTTTTATAACAAATGACTTTTATTACGATATATGCTTCGACTAGAATCAGGCATGTGATATGTTACATATTGGAGTAATTAAATGAAATGTTCTCATTAAAGAAATTAATATCACTTGGCAGCCCTGTTAATACAAATAATGTTTTTTTTTCCAAAACAAATATTTTCCAGTCGGTTTATTTATATTGGGAGAAGATAATTTGATTGTTTTAAAAAAATTTCAGTTGATAATGATATTAGAATTTTGACTTTGTACCTTTTCTATGCAGAAATAGTTGAGAACGAAGACCAAATGGAGAACACCGGGTAAAATTCTTTTTAATACAAATGATAAATGAAATTAATATTTTTATTTTTAAAAATAATTTTAAAGAATATTGAAAGGAAAGACCATTTTTATAACTGGTGCTTCTCGTGGCATTGGAAAAGCAATTGCTTTGAAAGCAGCTAAAGATGGTGCAAATATAGTTATTGCAGCTAAAACAGCAGATCCACATCCTAAGCTACCAGGCACAATATATACTGCAGCTGAAGAAAGTAATATTAAATTATTTTGTGTGATATTTTTAATACTGTTATTAATTAAAATTAGTCGAAAGAGCTGGCGGAAAGGCTTTAGCTTGTATTGTTGATGTTCGAGATGAAGAACAGGTAAAAAAAGCAGTAGATGCAGCTGTAGCGAAATTTGGAGGTATTGACATTTTAGTAAATAATGCCAGTGCTATTTCTGTGACCCGGACATTGGACACTGATATGAAACGATATGATCTTATGCATAATATTAACACAAGGGGAACATTTTTAGTGTGAGTGTGAAATAAAAAATATTACTAATTAAATTTATTTAACCAATTTATAATTAATTTGTTAGTTCCAAAATATGTTTACCGTATCTACTGAAAAGTAAACATGCTCACATACTCAATATATCTCCACCACTTTCTATGAGGCCCAAATGGTTTGGTAACCATGTTGCTTATACAATGGCTAAATATGGTATGTCTATGTGTGTGTTAGGCATGGCGGAGGAGTTTAAAGACATGAATTTAGCGGTTAATGCACTATGGCCGCGTACTGCTGTGTATACAGCTGCAACTGATTTTGTAGCAGGACCAGAAGCTGTAAAGTATACACGAAAAGCAGATATCATGGCAGATGCTGCGTATGTTTTATTGTCTCAGAAACCAAATAGTTGTAGTGGTAAATTTCTAATAGATGAGGAAGTTTTGTTCGAGGCTGGTGTTAAGGATTTTAAACAATATGCGTGCTTTCCAGAATATGCTGACAGATTAAGGATAGATTTGTTTTTGGAACCGCAACACTCTAAATTATAGTTTTAAAATATGATATTTAAAATGCATATTTTTAAATATATTCGTCCTAACTTTTAAGGTTAAGGTTTAAGAGTAAACAAGTTTTTTTGTATATTTATATTTAAAAAAATGCATTAAGTTAAATGCAAATATTTAACATCCCACAAGAGAAATTTACGCCGGAACAAATTTTATCATTATCAAATTTTTATAAGTTTAAACTAAACATTATAAAAACAAAGAGAAACAATTCCTACTTTAGGAAACGTGGTATATTACATGATAAACCAGTGATTTTTTATGGTAATGTCAAGGAGTTTACGCGATCCAAAAGATTATATTAATTTTTTCGCGAATATTATATGAAATATAAAGGAACTGAGAGATTCGTAGAATTCTATTTATATATGTGAAAAGCGGTGATGTGATCCAATTTTTGCATATTTATTTCAGTTAGATGGCAGCCATTGGAAAACAGTGCGGCCTAAATTAACTCCATTTTTTATATCTGGATAATTGCTCAATATAGTAGCCGACATCGCTACTATATTTGTTTTAGAACAAGTGCTAAGTTCAACGAATATGGATGATGGGTCTCATTGTGATAATCTTGTGGTACGGCACATAACTGATGTGATTGGAACTGAAATGTTGCGTGTAACTTAAAAAAAAGGTGTTAAAAAAGGGTTAAAAAAGGTGATCAAAGTTTTTTGTATCAGTTCTATTTTTATTGCAGATTTACTTATGCTTTGTCATTTTTAAGTTTTTTTATAAGTTCGAATACTTCGTCTTACTTAGATATTAGCATAAAAGGTTCAGCAGTACAAAATTCATAACAGTTCCTAATATTGTTGAAAATAGAGTGAATCCTTTTGAAATTACTCAAAATAATGCTTATTTTATGCTTATAGAGGTTAAGTCGAGGTTGAAACCTTTGTAATACAATCCATTACAAATAATAATGTAAACAGTTCAATTAACAATTTAAACAAAATATTAATACTTATGGTAAGTATAGTTAATATTATATTATATTTAAGAGAAAGCTTCAAGCTACACCTGAAGCGATATACGAATTTTTTTAAAGCAAAAACCGTTAAATCATATAATATAATAAATCAAAACAACTGTTTGATTATTGATGTAATATTTTCATTTCAAAATGACTAAATGATTCAAATACCACATACAATCAACATATAATGTAACAAAATATTTTTTGCCTTTTGCCTTTCGAGAAAAACTCAATACGATTAATGTGTAATCATTTGCAATAAAACATGACATATAATTTACTGACATTATTATTTAAGTCAGTTAACAAAGTTAATCGATATTAAGCATAAGCATAGTTTAAAAAAAAAACGATTTCTGTGCTGTTAGTAAATATTAGATATTGTGCTTTGCTTATAGAAACGACAAAATTTTTTTCTTGTATTGGTGCATAATTTTTTACACAATGTTTTTATAAAAAAAATTCCATATTACTTGGCAGCTCTGTCACTACAAAAAAAAAAACAATTTTTTTTACAACAGCAAGTTGATTATATTGGAATGAGATTGTTTTAATTTTATAAAGTATCTCAGCTGATAATGATAGGAGTTTGACTTTGTACCTTTCTATGCAGAAATAGTTGAAGAACGAAGATCAAATGGAGAACACCGGGTAATATTCTTTTTAACACAAATGATAAATGAAATTAATATTTTTATTTTTAAAAACAAAATTATAGAATATTGAAAGGAAAGACCATTTTTATAACTGGAGCTTCTCGTGGCATTGGAAAAGCAATTGCTTTGAAAGCAGCTAAAGATGGTGCAAATATAGTTATTGCAGCTAAAACAGCAGATCCACATCCTAAGCTACCCGGCACAATATATACTGCAGCTGAAGAAAGTAATATTAAATTATTTTGTGTGATATTTTTAATACTGTTATTAATTGAAATTAGTCGAAAGAGCTGGCGGAAAAGCCTTACCTTGTATTGTTGATGTTCGAGATGAAGAACAGGTAAAAAAAGCAGTAGATGCAGCTGTAGCGAAATTTGGAGGTATTGATATTTTAATAAATAATGCCAGTGCTATTTCTTTAACACACACATTGGACACTGATATGAAACGATATGATCTTATGCATAATATTAACACAAGGGGAACATTTTTAGTGTGAGTGCTAAATAAAAAATATTACTAATTAAATTTATTTAACTAATTTATAATTAATTTTCTAGTTCCAAAATATGTTTACCGTATCTACTGAAAAGTAAACATGCTCACATACTCAATATATCTCCACCACTTTCTATGAGGCCCAAATGGTTTGGTAACCATGTTGCTTATACAATGGCTAAATATGGTATGTCTATGTGTGTGTTAGGCATGGCGGAGGAATTCAAAGACATGAATTTAGCTGTTAATGCCTTATGGCCACGTACTGCTATACAAACGGCTGCAATTGATTTGATATCAGGTCCAGAAGCAGCTAAATATTCACGTAAAGCAGATATAATGGCAGACGCAGCTTATGCTTTGTTGTCAAAGAAACCTGATAGTTGTACTGGTAAATTTTTAATAGATGAGGAAGTGTTGTTAGAGGCCGGAGTTAAGGATTTGAAACAATATGCATGTGTTCCAGAAAATGCTGATATGTTGATTGAAGACTTTTTCTTGGAACCTCACCATTCCAAATTATAGTATTATATATACAAGTGAAAATCGGGGGTGTTGGTATTCTGGGGATAACATTTTGTTTTATTAACATGATAATAATGTAAAATTAATTTGAGAATAAACTTTTATATATGTACATTCTAATTAAAAACTGAAACATGCAGTATCATATATGTATGAACTAATAGCAAAACATAACAGGATAACCAATTACTGATATATATATACATATAAATATATATATATAATATAAATTCTTTTTTACTAAAAGACAGGAATTGATGGTTTAACTATTTTTAGTTGAACAGTATGTATCATTTATATCATCATTTACTTATATGATTATTTAAGAAAAGTTTAACGATATTTTGTAGAAATTGAGAAGATATTTGGCAAAAAAAATAAAACATTAAAAAATAAAAATATTTGTTTTGTTATGAAATATTCGATACTGTGCGTTGTATACAGTAAGAAAAAAATTTCGAAGGTTGCGTAGGACAATTTTTATATAAAATGTTCCCATTAAAAAAGTCCATTTCATTTGGCATTCCTATTATTAAATACAAAAACACAATGTTTTTTTCAAAACAATTATCTTCCAATAGGTTGATTGCACTGAAATAAGATTGTTTATTTTTAATAAATACTTCAGTTGATAATGATATTAGAACTTTGACTTTACACCTTTCTGTACAGAAATAGTCGAATAGCGAAGACCAAATGGAGAACACCGGGTAAAATTCTTTTCAATAGAAATTAATAATAAAATTAATATTTTTATTTTTAAAAATAAAATTATAGAATATTAAAAGGAAAGACCATTTTTATAACTGGAGCTTCGCGTGGCATTGGAAAAGCAATCGCTTTGAAAGCAGCTAAAGATGGTGCAAATATAGTTATTGCAGCTAAAACAGCGGATCCACATCCTAAGCTACCAGGCACAATATATACTGCAGCTGAAGAAAGTAATATTAAATTATTTTGTGTGATATTTTTAATACTGTTATTGATTAAAACTAGTCGAGAGAGCTGGTGGAAAGGCTTTACCTTGTATTGTTGATGTTCGAGATGAAGAACAAGTAAAAAAAGCAGTAAATGCAGCTGTAGCGAAATTTGGAGGTATTGACATTTTAGTAAATAATGCCAGTGCTATTTCTGTGACCCGGACATTGGACACTGATATGAAACGATATGATCTTATGCAAAACATTAACACAAGGGGAACATTTTTAGTGTGAGTGCTAAATAAAAAATATTACTAATTAAATTTATTTAACTAATTTATAATTAATTTGTTAGTTCAAAAATATGTTTACCTTATCTACTGAGAAGTAAACATGCTCACATACTCAATATATCTCCACCACTTTCTATGAGTCCCAAATGGTTTGGTAATCATGTTGCTTATACAATGGCTAAATATGGTATGTCTATGTGTGTATTGGGCATGGCGGAGGAATTTAAAGACAAGAATTTATCCGTTAATGCCTTATGGCCACGTACTACTATACAAACGGCTGCAATTGATTTACTATCGGGTCCAGAAGCAGCTAAATATTCACGTAAAGCAGATATAATGGCAGATGCTGCGTATGCTTTATTGTCAAAAAAGCCTGGTAGTTGTACTGGAAAATTTTTAATTGATGAAGAAGTGGTATTGGAAGCCGGAGTTAAGGATTTGAAACAATATGCATGTGTTCCCGAAAATGCTGATATGTTGATTGAAGACTTTTTCTTGGAACCTCACCATTCCAAATTATAGTATTATATATACAAGTGAAAATCTGGGGTGTTGGTATTCTGGGGATAACATTTCGTTTTATTAGGATGATATTAATGTAAAAATTAAAGAAGCAATTGTATTATTTATAGAATATAAAAACTGAAATATGTACTATCATATAATAGTACATATTTCACAAGTAAAGAGAATGACAAATAAAATGATGAGCGGTATATTATAATATAAATTAAATTAGAGATCTTATTATTTTTTAAACGAATTATTATGTTTATATTGCGAGATCGGAGCACAATGCTACCTCAATATGAGCATTCTAAAAACTCAACCCATGGTTGTGTATTTAGATGAAGTAACAAATCAACGGTGCTCTGTAACATTAGGGAATAATTTGAATATTTATTGAATAATTAAAAAAATATTTCGATCATCGTGTTTCTATTCATTTCTTTATCTAATTTTTGATTTAATGTAATGGGCAGATTAAGAATATTATGTGTATTCATGATTTGTAACTTTTTGTTAGCTGAAAAGTTTGGGAACAAATCTATAATTTACTAACATAAATAATTAAGAAAAGTAAATAAAGCAAGATAATTGATAATTAAAATATACAAATATTTGTTTGCACTGTTACTAAATATTCGATACTGTGCGTTATGTACAGTATAAACAAAATTTCAATTTTTATCTGAAATGTCCGTTTCAAAAAAAATTCATTTAATTTGGCACTCCTGTTATTAACCCAAAAAAAATTTTTTAAAGCAGAAGAAAACTATTCTTTAATTTTGCAGCTTAACATTCAGAAGCATGCAGTGTTTAACTTTAAAAGAACTCTACAGTAGTTATATTTTGCTCCTGTAATAGTCTTGCCCTCTGATAACTTTTAATTTGAAATTATTCTACTTTATTCGAAACATTGTCAGAAGAAACAAGATAATTCTATGGAAATGTCTCTTAAGCTAATCTGTAAAATTTAATGCTATTAACACAACCTAGCAATAAAATCTGAATGAATCTGAATTGTTTAGTGTAAATTCCAGAAAATCTACAAGTCTCGGTGAGCTTTAGTTCTATTTTTGATAGGACTGAAGAACACCGTTAAGCAATCTTCTTAACGTGAGTTCATGTGAGTTTAGTGTATTTCAATTTTGTACTATTTATTGTAATAGAAAAACAATATATTTTAAAAAATTAGATATTATCCGTTGATTGTATCAATTATACTTTTTTGGCAGCCACTAAACAGCTTTATATAACTGTATATATTATATATTTATAATATTTTTCCACACAACATGCGCAACTGGGATTCGAAAGTACGTATATAATTTTTAATTATTTTGAATAAATGGGCAACACTAAACCACGGCAAAAACGTCAAAAATTATACAAAACAATCATTATCAAGTAAAGCACAGCTCGTACAAACGTTCATATCCTTTTTATAAATGGTTTAATATCTTTTATATTATTTATAATTATAAATTTGGGAACAAAATCGATAATGAGCCGCAATGAAGTAGAAACACTACAAAATCAGCTAACAGTTGCAAGAAATGAGATTAATAATTTAAGGTGAGCTTACCAATTGTGTATTAAGTAACAAAAAACAAAAAAAGAAAAAACAAAACCTTTATGATCATAAATAATAAAAATATTAAATCTACAGACAACAAGTAAGAAATTTGCAACACGTACAACGCAAGGATATTGAGAAGGTTGCACATGTACTGAGTGAATTTCGTTGTGAAGGTTGTCGTCTTGCAGCTGACGAGAATACTAAAAATAGCAATGAAACTCACACAGTAAATATAATTCAGGTATGTTTTATGTGCACTTTTTTATGAATAAATAACTAAACTGTTAATTATCTAAAGGAAACATTCTCGGATGCTGCTGTTGTACGCTTTCGATCTATAGGCATAATTCGTACTGCATTTCCAGAGAAACGTGCAGTTCCTCGTCAATCAACTATTGGTGGACGTTTGCGTGGCCAAATCGAATTTAATAATGATATATTTACAAATCCGGAACATTCATTGGAAGGCTTGGAAGAATATTCACATTTATGGTTAATATATTATTTTCATAAAAATAATGCGCATCCCAAGGCCAAAGTTGCGCCCCCGCGTTTAGGAGGCGAACGTGTGGGTAGGTCATGACAAAATTTCAATGATGTGAAAAATTTAAATGAAAATTTTTGTTGTAGGCGTTTTTTCAACACGTTCACCACATCGGCCTTGTCCAATAGGTTTGTCACTTGTCGAAATTGATAAAGTAGATGGAGCAGTATTATATTTTTATGGAACAGATATGGTAGATGGCACTCCAGTGTTGGATATAAAACCTTATATACCATTTTATGATGCTCCACTTACTGTGGATTCTGGTAAGTGATATGTGTTTTTTTTAAATATATATTTTACATTAATTTAATAAATAGGTCTTAATTGTAAATTTAAAAGCAGTCATAACTGAAATCTTGTTTTATTTTTTTTTGTTTGTTATCGAATTTAGAAATTCCAATAAGGACTTTGTAGAAGTATTTATTTAGACATTTTTTAAATATAATAAAATAAAGTTATTTAAAATTCAAATGTAAAAGTAGAATAACTTAAATTGTATGTACGATGTTTATATATATATTAAATTTTAAATTTCTAATAAGAACTTCATAAAATCTAATTACATAAAGAGGTTTTTTTGAACAGTAGTGAACTACAACAGCAAAAATTTTATTTTTTATATTTTTTTAATTAAATGAATTTTTGGCTGACCATACAGCTATTTCGAGTATTGCCAAATACCCATCATCTAATTACTTTTTTATTTAGATGTCTTTTGAATATAATATAACATAAAATAACTAAAATATATAAAATTGATAATGTAGAATAATAGTTAAAATAATAAAAATAATAGTACAATAATTTAGCATAATATTTAAGATGTACAATAGTATATATACATATATATGAAATATAATATAACAATATAATACATTGTTTATTTTTTTACAGGTCGCATATCTGTTGGTCCAACAGAAGGTGTTGATTTTTATAATTCCCGTCAAGATCCGGATGGAGAAGAATCAGAATTGGAACTCTTAGGTGCCGGAGCAGCGGGTGGTGGTACTAATTTACCACATCCAGTAAATTTCGCTAATCATATTTCACCTCCACCGAGTGCTGTTAAGATACCAAATTGGGTAGTTGCTAGTCATAGACTAACAGTTTGTTTCAATGAACGAGCGGAATCACAATTGCAAGAATTGCAAGTACAAAAGAAATGTATTATTGATATATTGGAGGCAGATCCTCGCTCAGTTTATTTACGTACAAAGTATGGTTCACAAATATTTACATTCCAATTAAGCGAAGTAACAGTTACCTGCAAATTTGATGACAAAGCCGGTACTGTGACTGTAGTACAAATCCGACGAACTGAAAATGTTCAAGATGACAATATAACTGAGCAGTAAC